TTTAAATATTGTTCTTTTACATTCAAAGTAACCCATTAGTTCAGAGAGTGAAAATCAATTTCTTGATTTTAAAGATAATAAAACAGATTAACATACATTCTAAATAACACTAAAAACAAAAAACACTTGAGGACATGATTAACAGCTGCTAGATTTATACTTTAAAACCCATGCAGTAGTCGCGGTCTTCTCTTTAGAGTTGTACATTTCTATTCACGACACTATTCGAGAAACATTAATGTAAGAAAAACTTAGTAAAATGTTTTAGAGCGCTTGAAAGCAGAATGAGATACAGAATTTAAGTAGTTGTGTTCTTACTGAGTCCAGCAGCCAGAGCTTGCTCGTTTGCCCACATCGCCCACTCAATTTTCCCCATGATCACTTGAGTGCGTGCTGACACTAATAAATGAAATTTATTTTCAACTTAATTCTATAAAATAAAAGTGGGAAGTGGCCAGCGTGTCATAAACTCAACCCTTTCGTTTCATCACTTCCTTTTCACTTTGTGCTACGTTTCATCAAATTATACAATAAATTCATGAAAGGAAATGAAAGCGCTAGAGTGGACATGTCAATGAAAAGGTGTCCACAGGAGGCGGGACGACAACAAACAGGAACTTTTTCATTGGTCAGATGCGTTGAGGTCACGTGAGAAATCAGCTCAGCTCATGCGACGCTAGTTGTGTCCCAAAGCAAAGGCTGCATCCGAAATGGCATACTCAATAAGTAGGTACTTAATTTCAATAAGTACTTACTTAACGAGCGCTAAAAGAGTACGTATCTACAGCCAAATCTCGTTAAGTATGAATGCGATCCATACATCATCCGCCATGTTGACGTTATCATGTGACCTATGACGTTCTTCTTCTTCTTCTTCTTCTTCTTCTTCTTCTTCTTCTTCTTTGAGCTTTATTGGCGGTTCGCATTCTTAAAAGAGCATTACCGCCATCTACTGTGGTAATGGATCAGATACACTATATCCCTACTCCCCAGACCATTCAGGCAGGACTCGTGCTTTCAATGTTACTGCGTGTTCAGCTCCTCCATCTACAGCCCAAGTCCATCACAGTCCAGAGATGAGAAATAACAACAATATTATTATTATTAATATTATTACTATTATTATCACTATCACTACCATTATTATTAATAATAATAATAACAACAACAATAATAACAATAGCCTATCTATATTCTATTAATTAATGAGTTCTATTTAAAAATTTTATTAATAAATTATCCGCTTCTACTGGATTTAAAAGCTTTTTTAATGTTAATTGTTGAACACCTTTCTTCTTAAATTCTTTTATTAGGTTGCTTCTTTCCTCTGAATATCTATTACACTTAATGAGTACATGTTCCACTGTTTCTTTAATACCACACCAATCACACAATCCTGTAGGGTGTTTTCCTATTATATGCATTGTTGAATTAAGACCTGTATGTCCAAGTCTTAATCTAGAAATAATAGAGTCTTCTTTCCTTCTCCCACTTGAATTCCTTCCTCTTCCTACCAATGGTTGTATTATAGATGCCTTCCCTTTTGCTCATTATCCCAATAAGATTGCCAGTTTTTATTTATCTCCCTTTTTGACCTGATGTTATAACAAGTGCAACAACTTAAAAGAAATGAGCAACAGGGCGTGTCAGTCCTAAATTTAGGAAAATTTCATAAAGTGTTTTAGCACTAAAACTAGCTCCTAAATCTGTGAGTAGTGAAGAGGACTCCTAAGTCACTAAGCCCAAGCCACAAACTATCCTAAAATGGCTGTTGCCGGCAGTCTGCCTTGGAACATAAACATTTTAGAAACATTTGATGATAATGACCTTTTTAAAAAGTATCACCTTTGGTTTTGGAGGTTATCCCAACTCCTAATTTTCCTTTGATTATATCCTTGTTTTCATTAACCAGTTGGGAAAGAAGTAAATTGTTTTGCTGCGTCCAGGTTTTTTTTTTTTTTTAATGTTTGCATGTATTACTATCAGCCATGATTATTCTACTCTGTTAATTAAAAGGCTGTTTATATGCATATCCGCTAATTGTTTTTGAGGAGCAAACATGTAAGAGGCTGACAATAAGCTGAACATATACTTGTTTAATTAGTGACACTTGTCCTGCATTTTAAAATCTTTATTTGAATGTGGCAATTATTATTATTATTATTTTAAAACCTTTATTTGAATACAGCAACATAATATTGTGCCCTACAATATTTCCATGAATAAATCTCTGACAGAGACTATCAGCCAATCACTGTGTGCATAGTTAGTAAGCATGCTGACATCATCCATAGCAACGAGGTCAACCCCGCCCTTACTCTT